CCTTTGGGCTTTATGCAGTTCACTCTCCCTGCCATAGCTCCTCATCCCTCAAATTCCACCCCCCGTCCTACTCTTTCCCACCCTTCAGGTCTTGTCTCTAAACTCAAGGTGGGTACATTAATTGCACACTTTCTTATTTTCTCCAGAGCAAATTGAGTCTTTTTGGTCTCATTCTGCTGTGCTACAGCAGAAATTATATCTGTGGTCACTAGGGTGTCCTTTCTTCCTTTTAAGGTCTCACAAGCATTTGGGATGTTCATGAATGACCTCAAAAGTGGGTGAGGACCTCTACTCTTAAGCCCATCTGGGTCACTGCTGCTATCCTCATAGCCAATTCTGAGGGGCCCTGGAAGGAGGTGGCTTCAGTGCTTGGGGTTTTGCCTAGGCTGGAAGACACCTCAAAACAATGAACCTCTGAAGTTCATCTCACTGGGTCCAACCAATGACTGGGGCACAGCCTTCCTCCACTACTCTTGAGAGGCTCCTCCTCCCCCTCTCCCCTGCATCCAAAACTAGGGGTAGGGTTGTTTTTGAACACACCTGTCCTCTGTTTGAAACAGCAAGTGCAAACACTTACTTGGAGTAGGAAAAATTCATAAACAAAATTAATATTTGAAGTTACGTGCTATAAAAGCTACTTGTCACAATGTCACACCGTGATTATCTAATCTAAGTCAGGTCCCCCCAGTCCCACTCTCTATACCCTGTAGTAGTTGCTATTGGAGCCCAGATCCCCTTTCCCTGGTCTGTCTGTGCACCCATTCTCTGACTATTTGCTCTGTGTTGGATGCCAAGAGCTCATGGCGGTATGTACTCTGGAGAGCCTCGTCCCTCAGCAACGCCTGGGTTATGCCCTCCCTGGGGGATGGTGGGAGGGGCAAGACCAATGACTGCACACTGCCCATTGAATACAAAGGCCCAGCCCCTTGCCTCAAAGTGGGAAAACTCTTGGTGACATCACATTGCATAGCACCTGTGGAACCTGGCTGAGGCTAGACTGAAGCGTGAGGCTGTATCTTTGCTCAGCTTTTTCCTCTGCTCTATCCTGTTTCCCTCTCGAGCCCCTCCTGATATCACAACCTCAGTAGATCCCCTACACAAGAAACTGTGCCTCAGGCTTTGCTTCTAGGTACCCAGCCTAAGTGACATCCTTTTCTCCCTTCCTAGCATGTCACAATTTAAAAGCATAGATTTGTATAACTCTTGGTTTAATGCTTGTTTCCCCCACTAAAAAAGGCAGGAGCCACGTGAGGTCCCTTTTACAGAAGAGAGCAATGCACTGATTTGAACTGGAAAGCCACACGAACATAGCCTCTCAGGCCTTGCTCTGCAGACTTTCCCTTTTTTTTTTTTTTT